TATCACAGTGTTGTCACGCGTTTCTGTGTGTGTTCTGTACGTTACTACAGTGTTATCACAGTGTTGTCACGCGTTGCCATCGGTGTTCCAAACATGACCACGATGTTGCTACAGTGCTGGCACCTGTTGCTAGGAGTGTTTCAGGGCAAGGCGACGCCTGTCCTCCAGGAGGCGTACCGATCGTTTCTCGGCATCGCAATAGCGCCACCTATCTACCCGCTGTATGAGACATTCCGCAAGCAGGTGAACCAGTATCTGGAGATGACACCGTTCTACTTTCACAACACGCTCTACTCCATTGGTCGACTCAAGATGGTAATATATCTATCAGGAGTAATCAGGAGTGGAGTTGTAATATTGTTATTCTTTACTCCTGATATCTATCTATATAGCGTAGCGTAGCATAGCTATCATAGAATAGCACAGCATAGCGTAGTGTAGCTTAGCGTAGCATAGCATAGCTATCATAGCATAGCATAGCTATCATAGCATAGCATAGCATAGCATAGCATAGCATTGCTTAACATAGCTATCATAGCATAACATAGCACAGCATAGCATAGCTTAGCGTAGTTTAACGTAGTAGTGTAGCATAGCATAGCATAGCATATCATAGCGTAGCATAGCATAGCATAGTGTAGCGTAGCGTAGCATAGCATAGCATAGCCTAGCCTAGCTTAGCATGCGTTATGTTTAATTGGTTTAGTGTGGATCGTTTGAGGATTAATTTCACGGCAGTCCTTCCGCATTAGAGTTGTCGCATGTCAGTGTGTGCGTGTCACTTAAAAAAGACTTCCGCGGAGCAGGCTGCTGTCGGCTTCCAGCTATCCAATCACAGCCCCGAAATTAATTAGGAGAGATCAAGGATAAAAAGTGCGCGTTTGTGCGTTGTTCCTGCGCAGTCGGTGCGTGCGCGCGTGCGTGATGAGTATATGAACGTCTATAGTCTATACGTTCACGTTAATATGGGATAACTTTAGATGCAGCGTTATACGCGCTCTACGTTTGTCCACGCCAAGCATTAATTATTGATATTTTAAATGAGTGAGAATAAAAATCGCTTTAATTTCATCAAAATAAAATTTCGCTTGGCTGCGTGAACTATGTCGGACGATGTTCAACGATGGGTATGATCGCGGAACCACTGCCGCCAGAGCCAGCGTCAGAAGTTTGAGGTTGATTCAATTAACGCGGGAAAACTTTCGACAGCAAGTCGATGGATCCTAAACGCGCACTGTTTATGCTAGTCATGTCGCATTTGTTCAAACATAACGGGGAGAGCGGAGTATTATATATAAAAGCAGGCCGTGCCATACAGTACAGCGCCCACCACCACGCCCGCACGCACGCGCTCCCGCACACACTCCCGCACACACACACACGCACGCACTCCCGCGCACACACATACACGCGTGCGCTCTCTCTCCCTTTCCCCATCTCTCGCTCTCCTCTCTCTCTCACTCGTGCGCGCGCGCACACACACACACATCCCACACACACATACACACATAATCTCTCGCATACACACACACACTGACGCGCACGCGCACGTACGCACGAATACACTCACTAAGTCGCAAGTCGCATGTCCGCGAACAATTCTCAGCGCCTTGAATTATAATTATCTTTCTCCGTCGCACGTAGCAGCTGCGCTGTCCAGTGAACACTGCTCCCGTCCGCCCAGCCTGTCGTCTAGCAATGCCAGGTTCAGCTGAGGATCGTATAGACCGAGAGAAAAATTCTTGGCCATTTACATGATGTCCCTACAACATCATAATAATGTCTTGCTCGACATGCAGTTGTAAGGAAGACGGCCACTCATTACGTATACGCGTGTGCTATTCAACGAAGTACGGTTATCATTTAGTTGCCATGATTACTATATACTTGCTATAATGATAATTCATAAAGCGCCGTGCGCGCCATGTTGGTTTTTAATAATCCAATTATATTTGCTGTATCGTCAGGACGTAGCTGGAATTATTGGTATTAAATCAGAATAGGAAACGCACGCGTCGTTGTGTGAAAGACAGCCGCAGCAGTTAGGAGCAAACTAATGACATGTGGAATAGAGGGTACCTGTACGCATGCGCAGGTCTCTCACTTGTAATAATCAATTGGCCCTAAAATAACAGATGCGACGTCGCATCATAGTACTTTAATGAAATCCACTATGATTTCTGCACACCAATTAAAAAATTCGGGGGTTACGAATCAGTGATCAGCGAATAAACTACATTGGTGAAATTAAGTAACTGCGAGGTTTTTTTCTGTGAGAACGCGCGACATAGCACGTGACATGCATTAGATTGATTGTGTGAAGCCGTTCCGCGGAGGGATATCCGTAGCCGGGGAGTTATTTGCCGGAATTCTGGCTCGTTACGTGATCGCAGCGGACATCCGGGTCTTCTATTAACACGCGCACGCGCAGACGGCGATAAAGAGTCACGTGGCCGTGCGTCACGCGAGAACGTACGTCATTTAGCAGACGTACCATAGTCAGCAAACGCTGGTTTCCGCGCGCTTTTCTCTAGTCGCACGCGATGATATTTAGTGATGTTCAGCGTGTGTGTATACTATTTGGGAGGTGGAGTGGATCGATTCATTACTCTGTTACATCAGTGCTACTGCTTATGATGATAATTAACCCCAGCGGGATATGATTTACGGTAAAATATTTATAGAGGTATTCCACCGAAACTCGGTCGTCAGCGAAAAAATGTTCAGGAATTTAGGTAAACTCGCTTGATTTTGAAAATGAATTGGATTTTATTCCAGGCACTTGCTTGCGCTGTTTCTTAAATAATATACTAGTTAGTCTCTCTATATAGAGTCTCCGTGTACTTACTACATAGTGTCTCTCTATATTTCTATGCGCTGTTACAGCAGTTGCGCAGAGTCATATGAGCTTAGGAACCAATGAGGTAACGTAAAGTAATTTAAGGATACTCTCAAGGTTTTAGGGAAATTTTTACCGATTTTTCATTTTCAACTTTATTCGATGGCTAACACTATGTGCCACCTGTGTACATGCTCATTTCTCCATATAACGGTACATGTGAACTGTCAGAGCGTTTTGCTTGCCCGCGTACATGTGTAGTGAGCCGCGGCTGACGTCAGAAAAACGCTGATTTCTCCGTTCCCATTTCTGACTTAGTAGTCGATGTATAAATGGATATTTCTCTGTGATTACAACTCGGAATAATTAAATTTTACACTCGTTTTAATGGTAACATATTGCTGTAAAGGTGCCGTATTTTATGAGTTATATCTCTTTATTCGCAAAAATTTTAAATTCAAACGTGCGACTTGAATTTTAGGCAGTTTTTTTTTATTTTTCTCGGTGAATATGACACTTAAAGAAAAATCCTGATGGAATATTTTGGTACATATTGTGCTTAACATGTGGCGAAAATTTTGTATCCTCACTCTTTCTGGTAATAGAGAAATACCATTTATACATAAAAATTCAAAATTTTGGTGGTAACATAATTAGGTGCTGGAAATTTCATGAAATTTTTTGCCTTGAGCATAGAGATATATCTCCTCTATAAATAAAACAAGTGATTGATTCGATTCATTCGTCAATAAACGTTGTATCGAGCAATACCCGTGCAAAAGGTGGAGAGTATCCTTAACTTCGAAATTAATCTAAAATATTAACAAGAGACTGAGTGCTAGTTTATATCTTGGTGACTCTCGAATTAGTGTTGGCACGCTGAGCCACACGGATGAAACTAGACATAAGGGGTAGTACAAGGTAGAGGCTGGAATGAAAAGTACAATCGCTTCCCATAACATCGACCGAGATCCGTTTATTCATCCGTTTTATATTTTCATAACATATTCTCTAATGCATTCTTTCGAAATCCCGCGGAGAGCAGTAAGCATTAGTTTCACGCGTTCATTATTGTGTTTATTGATTACACCGGCTACATGGCATTAAGATACTAATATCGCCAGCTGATTGAAGGTTAATGAGCCTAACGTGAAGGTCAGGAGGGGGTCAGCCGGAAATCGTCCGCTAGTCACGCTCGCGCGCGCAAACGATTGAAATGTGTTCAACGCTCTTGGTTCAATTTTAGCGGGTCGGACCGCTGTCACAGTGAGGTCCGGGGTGTTTAGCAGGATGACAGGAGTGTTTTAGATCAATACTCGCACGAGCTCCGTCAGTGACTGACAGAAACTGACATAAAGCGCGGCGCGGCGGAGTCACGGTGAAACGTTCCGATACATGATCGTCACGAGATCGATATTCTCTGAAATTGAAACGATCACCGACTGCATCCGTCACAAAGCTGGCCGCAGATTACACTACTTAGGGCGATGTCGAAACGATGCCAGTCAGCTAGCCAGTATGAGTCGCTTGTGCAATGAATGCCAGGCCAATTTTCACACAGGGAGGTGCAGTCTGTAGCTGTTTGAGAGCGAGCGCTATCCCGTTATACCCTCGATGTTATTTCCCGATTCTAAACACTAATGAGGGAGTTATGACCGAGATCTGTCCACAAAACTAACTGATCATGGTGATCATAGGCTAACTGATCATGATGATCACAAACTAGCTGATCATGATGATCACTGGCTAGCCAGTGATGAAGATCGCTGGCTATTCGATCACGATTATCATTGCTGCTATGACTGGGGCAGGTGCGATGGGTTACATGGTGCACATGGATCACAATGGAGATGCCGAGGGAAACTACACGCTCATAGCGCGCAAGAGCTTACCGAACGGAACCGAGGCGTACGGACTTATGCCCGTGGGGAACTTCCAGCTAAATGCCGACAACGCAAGCACATTACCTGTAAGTATACATTCAGTTCGAATAATTACATTTAAGCCTAAAGAGACGTGCATACGTTGTTTTGTACGTGTGCGTAGGTGACTGCACGCAAGTGAGTGCGTGTGCGTGTACGTGGGCGAGTGCGTATGCGGCTACGTTTGTGTGCGCGTATGTGCACGCTCGTGCGTGTGCGTCTAGATGGGCACGTGTGGGTGCCTATGAATACGTGCGTGCGCGTGGGTGGGTGCGTGAGCGTTACTGGGTGCGTGTGCGTTGCTGGGTGCGTGTGAGTGGGTGCGTATACGTGGGTGGGTGCGAATGTAAACTTTTATGATTGAGTAGCTTGCATACATGGCAGCCTGCAAGCTTGCGTAGTCATTCAACCAAGCAGCTGACGTTGGCCTCTGTACACCAACCATGCTGCTAAAACTGTCCTTCTTCAGATCGATATCACACGGAAGGAAGTCCCTCTATTATTAAATAACATCGTATTGGCGCTTATCGGCGGTGGTTTGTTGATCGTGCGAAATACGAGGAGTTTATTCATACACAGGACCTAAAGCTTCACTCCAACGACAGCATAGAGTGGATATCGGGACATTGGCCCATCGACGAGCCAGAGTGTGGATTCAGGAACGAGAAGTGTCCTGTAGAGAAGTGTAGGTGGTATATAATATCAAATATAGTGAATAATCAAAGATAAATATAGGCCAGCTTTGTAGGTGACCCGCAAACGTACGCCCGTGCTATAGAAAAATGTGGTTACATATCAAATAAAGAATAATCAAAGACAAACATCAACACTATTTATATATTGCTGGAACCGGGTTCGTTTGGATAGTATAGTTTGACCCTGGTTGGATAATGACAGAGCTAGATTACATGCGTGCTACGTCGGTGACCTTAACAATAACCAATGACTGGCACGCTATTGATGACGTTAGCTGACGTCATCAAACGTGGAGAGGAGGCTAGTCAGCCGGGGTGATGCTAATGATGTCACGTGTGTTCTAGCCTGGCTTCCTGAGATCCTAGGCTCGCTTGGTGGTGCCTTACTCATCTTTGTCATCATCCTGGGGTTCGTCTACAGGTAGGGCTCTTACTGATGACACACCGCCGCCTGTTGACAGCCTCGGGCCTTTATATAGTGTCATCAAGAGTGACTGACACATGTCAACTAGTAGCTAATGACTTATTCGTCGTTAGGCGCGTGCGTGTGGGGACATCTCAACGAGAATGAAGTGTACTGCGGGGACTGTTAGGAGCTCACCGTTAGAGAGCTGATATGCATCAAGCAAGCGAATTCGTTATCTTGCATATGAGTGCGCGCTCTCGCGCGAGTGTGTGTGCATGCGTTCGTTAGTGCGTGCGTGCATGTGCGTGTGCGTGTGTATGCGTGTGCGTACGTTCGTTAATGCGTACGTGCGCGTGTGTGCCTGCATAAGTGTGTGCATGAGATATTGAATTCTGGAGAAAAAAAACGAATAAAAAACATCATTATGATGCTGCGCGGTGGCCGTAGTGCTATAGATTGCTTTTAGATGTGCTTTCATCTTTTCGCCGTGTTTTTATAAAGTGTTTCCAACTATGACATCTCGTATGAAAACGGGCAATATATGCGAAATAATGACCATAGTGAAAATGGTCAATCCCTCGTTGGCTGGCTCTATATTGCTTTCTGACTGTAAACACTTCATATTCCTCTCAGCAATATCGTCATGATGTGAAGTCACCAGGCGCTAACAATGCACAAGCTATTCACTAGTTGATTAGAGGAGATAGGGCAATACATGCTGACATTATATATATATATATATATATATATATATATATATATATATATATATACGTATAGACTCGGCTTGTGAACAGGCGTGCATACCATGACAGCGATGTGTTTCCGCAGGCTTCGTGACTATGCTGCTATTAATTGCACCCACACTATTCCACTACCTCATTAGTAGAAGCAGCAAGAGAAAATTAACACTGGGAAATTATTGTTATTAGCCCGCGTTCGCAGTCCCGCGATTTTTTACATTAATTATTAAAAACGCGTTTAAATTGTGTGGAACTAATGTATCAGTAGCTGATTCGCTGATTAGTTTATGAACGTACAGACAGGCGCTCACTGTGCTAATATTCTCTCTCGCGCTCTCCCTTTCTCTTTCTTCTCCCCTCTCTCTCTCTCTCTCGCTCTCTCTCTCTCTCTCGCACGCTCTCTCTCTCTCGCACGCTCTCTCTCTCTCGCGCGCGCTCCCCTTTTCTCTTTCTTCTCCCCTCTCTCTCGCGCGCTCTCTCTTTCTCTCGCTCTCGCTCGCTCGCTTTCTCTCTCGCTCCCTCTCTCTGTTTGCGTCTTCTTTCTGATCTTTTTATCTCCATATTGTTATCTCCCTTTTGTTTTGTCTACCCTCTTCTCTCTTTCTTTCTCCCGATTTTATTTCTCTCTTTCTCTCCCCCCTCTCTCTGGTGTTATGCTAGGGCGGGTGTTAACATGATGATAAAACCACCGTCATTGTTTGTTCGCGTAGAAACTGGCGATACGAACAAGAGTTGGCAAGCCTTATCTGGAAGGTCGATTACAAGGACATCGCCATGGTGACGGACTTTACAAGCACGTTACTGAGTAACAACACTGGTAACACCATGACCCGGGTGAGTGAGTGCGCGCGAGAGAGAGTGTTCGTTTGCGCGCGTACGTGTGTGCCTTTATTCGTTCGCGTGTGTGTGCGTGCATTTATGTGTGTATGTGTGCATGAGTGCGCGTGTGTGTGTGTGTGTGTGTGTGTGTGTGTGTGTGTGTGTGTGTGTGTGTGTGTGTGTGTGTGTGTGTGTGTGTGTGTGTGTGTGTGTGTGGCACTGGCGAGCCACTGATGAAAATCGAGACCTGGCTATCACCACGAATATCAACTTGCTGCTATTACTGGGGCAGGTGCTTTAATGGGTTACATGGGCTTAACATATGGATCAACAATGAGATGCACCGAGGGAACTACACCTTCTGCTGCGTGCTCATAGCGCGCAAGAGCTTTACCGAACGAAACCGAGGCCCTCTACCGATTCCAGACTTATGCCGGGAACTTCCAGCATAAAATGCCGACACAACGCAACAGCATTACCGTAAAGAATACATTCAGTTCGAATAATTACATTTAAGCCTAAAGGAGAACTGCATACGTTGTTTTGTACGTGCTGACCTAGTTGACGCACGCAAGCGAGTGCGTGTGCGTGTACGTGGGCGAGTGGCGTATGAGCGGCTACGCTTTGCTTTGTCGGCCGAGTAGATGCACACTTCGTGCGTGTGCTCCTAGATGGGTAAGTGTGGGTGCCTAGAATACGTGCGTGCGCGTGGGTGGGTGCGGAGCGTAGCTCTGGTGCGTGTGCGTGCGGGATCGTTGAAGTGGGTGCGTATACGTGGTGTGTGGCGAGTGTAAACTTTTATGATTGAGTAGCTGCATACCATGGCACAGCACTGCAAGCTTGCCGTATCACATTCAATCGCCAAGCCAAGCTAGAAGTGTAACAGCAGCTGAGTGTAATAACAGACGCACTGCGAAGTGTAACAGCAGCCGAGTGTAATAACAGACGCACCGCGAAGTGTAACAGCAGCCGAGTGTAATAACAGACTCACTGCGAAGTGTAACAGCAGCCGAGTATAATAACTGATGTACCGCGAACTGGCGCCCGTGATTCACACTATGTACAATTCACGCGAGTGCGCTTGTAAAACTGCAACATTTCTGAGAAATCGAACGAGAAAGCGAATAGATGTAGGATTATGTATTACTAATTAGCTAATAAATATCACTATTACCACGATGATCATATCCATACATTGTATAAATATGTAGAGGTGTGGAGTATACGGGTAGGATTCATCAGTGAGGTTGAGACATTCTGTATAATATAGGTTACAGGTTAATTAGTTGTAATGATGATCACAAACTAGCTGATCATGATGATAAGAAACTAACTGATCATGGTGATCATAGGCTAACTGATCATGATGATCACAAACTAGCTGATCATGATGATAATAAACTAACTGATCATGGTGATCATAGGCTAACTGATCATGATGATCACAAACTAGCTGATCATGATGATAATAAACTAACTGATCATGGTGATCATAGGCTAACTGATCATGATGATCACAAACTAGCTGATCATGATGATAATAAACTAACTGATCATGGTGATCATAGGCTAACTGATCATGATGATCACAAACTAGCTGATCATGATGATAATAAACTAACTGATCATGGTGATCATAGGCTAACTGATCATGATGATCACAA